CTCTCAATCTGCTTGACTGCGCTGTCGACCGCCTGCTTCAGTGCCTGCAGCCGCGCCGTCTCCTCATGATGCACGATCTTGCCGGTGAAGCTCTGGCTGGAAGACTCCCAGGGCACATCTGCGGGGCAGGGAGCGGGGGCAGCAGGGATGATGTCACAGCAACGTAGCATGGAGCAAGATGAGCCGGCCTGCACACACATCACGCTGCTGCTGAGGCAGCCCTTGCGGCTATGGCAGCGTCGAGACGAGCGGACGAAAGCACCGAGCGGCCAAAAGAGGAGCGAGGGACCCTAGCGGCACGTAGCACTCACTGTCGGCCTGCGGGTGGAAAATCTGGCTGGCTGCCTCGCTCAAGTACTTGCCCACATCGCTGACCAGCGAGCGAGTGCGGACCGAGGGGCGCGCTGCGGCGCGGAGCGCGGGGCCCCGCGGGCGGGGCGCAGCGGCGGCGGGGCAGGGCACCGGCCGTGATGTCGCCACGATCGTCTGCATGGCAACGCTGATCTGCGGCGGCCAGAGGGGTGGGGCAGGACGGCAGGGAGCTGCGTGACGAGGGGCGGTGTCGGAAGGGATAGCATCGGCGGCACTCAGGAGCTGGGGGCAGGGGGCCTGAACCCAAACAGGGGCGCGGCCAGGGAGCAGGCGGTGGGTGGTGATCGGCGCTGCAATCGCTGGCGGGGTGAGCGGCGGCACCCCACCTAGCAGGAACTCTCTAGGGTGCACGGCTGTGCCTGGGTTGGGTTGCCTGGGTTTGCTTAGAACCGGGATTGTTGCGGAACGGGATTGTCCCGGCTCAGCTGCAGCCGAGCACGACAGCACGATTTTTGGAGGGCCCAAAGAAGCCCCCATTTATTGCCCAGTTCTTCAGCAGGCCACACAAGGACGCATGGCAGCTGGGGCGCTCGCTCCCGACACCTGTTGACCATAGCCATCCCGCCGTGCTGGGGCCCCAAGCGGTCTAGTGCCCAAAATCATGGGGTCATCATGGGGCAGACACCGAAATTCATGGCTGATAATATGAGTGATAAGTTCCTTCATCAATGGTCTACCTGCGGGCTGCTGGTGCCAGCACCAAGGCGGTGGCGGGCGGCCGGCTCGGGTTGGTAGCGTTCAGGAGAGGTTCGAGCGTTCAGGAGTGGAATGATGGATTTGACAAGATTGTGTGGTAACACTGCGTTTCGTCTCATCCATCGGGGGGAGAAACTAGGCGATCCTGGCCGTCGCCATGGCGCCATGACGCCCAGCTGGCGCCACTGCGTCAATGTCTAGCATGCAGTTCCGTGTCCTGGAGCAGCAAGCGATGGCGTGATCACTGCAGCCAGCGCTTGGGGCCTCTTCTCGACCTCGTTCGTTTCGCAGCTCGCAAGCAGGCGACATGGCACTTCTTCGCAGAGCCCTCAGCTCAGTCGGGACGCCGCAGGTTGTCGATGTAGCCATCCTGGGAGGAGGGATGGTGGGAGCCGCCCTGGCCGCGGCCTTAAGTGAGCCACCCGCCCGCCCCCGCCGCTTGTCCAGAGGTTGCTGATCGCTCTCGTCCCACTGCTGTGGGCAGCAGCATGACCTGGCATCCTGCATGCACACCCATCCATGGCCTCATACTTGAGCTTCCCATCAATTCGTGCAGATGCCAACCCGCTCACGAAGCACCTGCACATCGCGCTGCTCGACCGCCAGCCGCCCGTCGCCCTTCCCGACCAGCTGCCGCTCCACGCCGACATCCGCGTGTCCACGCTGACCCCGGCCAGCATCGCGCTGCTGCACAGCGTGGGGGCCTGGCGCTCGCTGGCGCCGGCAGCGGCGCCGTTTGTCGACATGCAGGTTGTGCTGTGTACGGGCAGAACAGTGAACTGTTGTCTGACGGGCTGCTTGTGTATGTGTGTGGCACTGCGCCCGTCTCATACGTTCGCAGCCGGCATCGCCACACACCTGTACCAGCCTGTGTGGTGCTGCTGCAGGTCTGGGATACCGGTGGCAACGGGTTTGTGCGGTACGATGCCGCTGCTGTGGGCGCCGACGCCATGGGCTTTGTGGTGAGCTTGTGCGAGAGCTTGCACGGGCATGCCAGCTTTGGTGTCCTTTTAGGTGTTCCTGCCTGTTGAGCGATGCAGGCACACCCAGCTGCACCTTCTCATTGCGATGCTGGCTGCAGGTTGAGAATCGACTGCTTGTGGCGGCCCTGCACGAGCGGCTGAAGGCCCACTCAGCTGTGCAGCGATTAATGCCTTCAAGCGTCACCGCGGCCGAGCTTCCACCCTACAGCCCCGTGGCGCAGGTGAGCCTGCTGCGCTGCTAAGCACCGCTGCCACATCCCAACCAGCCAGCATCTACACATTTGCCCCGTGCGACACCTGCCTCCTCGCAGCTGGACGGCGGTTCGCTAGTGCGGCTGGAGCTGGAGGGCGGCGGCAGCCTGCACACAAGGCTGCTGGTGGGCGCTGACGGCCGCGGCAGCCGCGTGCGGCAGTGGGCGCAGGTAAGGCAACCGCCATGATGGTGGCAGCCTGGAATCAAGCTGTATGTGGTGGCAGGCAGATGGTGTGCAGATGGGGCAACAGGGCAGCAGTTTGGCGCGCCACCGACTTGTGCCACTCCCTCTACTGTTTCCCAACACCCAGATCCGGACCACCGGGCGAGACTACCAGCAGCGAGGGTTGGTGGCAACAGTGGCCACCGCCTGGCCCAACCAGACCGCGCACCAGCGCTTCCTGCCCACCGGCCCGCTGGCGCTGCTGCCGGTCCGCGGCGGCTTCAGCAGCGTGGTGTGGAGCTGCCCGCCCGAGGTGCGCCCCCGCCCGGCCCTTTCCTGTTTTTGTCTGCACTGTGCAGCTCGCCAGCAAAGCGACAGTCAGCTAGGCGCTCCTTCCAACGCCCGCCTGGCCAATGCTGCTGCTTGGCGGCCTGCGGTGCAGATGGCGGCACGACTGGAGGCGCTGCCGCGGCACGAGCTGGCTGCTGCCATCACAGACGCTCTCACCTCCGGCCCCAACTACCCGCCCCGGCCGCCGCTGGGGGAGCTGCTTGGCGGCGTTCTGGCGCCTGCACGCAGCAGCCGCTTTGTGGAGCCGCCTGCCGTGACGGATGTCGTGGGGGACGCGCCCAAGTCGTTCCCGCTGATGCTGCAGCATGCAGGCAAGCGCAGCTTGCAGGGCAGGAAAGGCGGGGCTACGGGTGCTTGTGCGGATCGAAGCGCAGTGCCGCTGAGCATGCCTCCCTGACCCGGTTCCAGGTCGGTACGTGCGGCCGCGGGTGGCCCTAATTGGCGACGCGGCCCATGGCATCCATCCACTGGCGGGGCAGGGCTTGAACCTCGGGTTTGGGGACGCACGCGTGCTGGCTGCCGCCATAGCTACCGCAGGTCGGCTGCTGCTGCCTGCTTCTGTGGTCAGCACTTGGCAGCAATGCTTTGTGCAGGTAGCATGCCGGCGCGGGCAGGTACCCTGGCTGCACCCCACTGCTGTTGGCCCTGTGTGCTGCAGTCGAGTCTGGGCAGGACATTGGCAGCGCGGCCATGCTGGAGCAGCAGTATGAGCAGCCGCAGAAGAAAGTCAACTCAGCCATGATTGCTGCCATGGAGGCCATCAAAGTCGTGTTTGGCCCTCAGGCAAGCAGGCTTTTTGGCACGCCAGCAGACTTGGCAGCCAGCCATGCAGCGCTGACCACCCAGCACCTAATGTTGCTGCCCTCCATTTGGACCATGCAGGAGGGGCCCGTGGCTGGGCTGCGCTCGCTGGGACTGGATCTAATCAACCAGATGCCAGCGCTAAAGCAGACGATCCAGCGCGTCGCCAGCGCTGGGACTGGATTATGATTTAGGCAGCAGCTGGGAATCCCCAGCTGCGGAGCCCCAGAGCTGGGATGACTGAAGTAATTGGTTACAGCGCTGGTTGACCATGTCGACCTCGGTGCGTCAGGTTGTCTAAATCTGTCCTGCAGTTAAATTAAGTCCTGAGCTGCCTAGGCTGCAGCTGTGGCTGCTGCTGTGATGAGTACTCCCCAAGGCGCCAGCAGCGGCTGACGCGGCCAGCACTTGGCCGCGCCTGGCGAGACGCTGGCTCACTTTTGCACCAGGCAATCTGGCTGGCGCCCGGTGCGAGGCGCCCGTGGCTGTCAAGGTCGGCCGCGGGACAATGCCCAAGTGTTGTTGACAAGCCCCATCAGCGAATTAGACTGGCGGCGGGTACTTGGCTGCCTCCTGCTTCACCCGCTTTTTATACTCCTCTAGCCGCTGCTGGAACATCACAAACGCATCTACAGAAAGAAGCAGCACACGGGGATCATGATCACAGGAAATTCAGGAACACCCTTCCCTCCAGGGCCGCATGCAATGATATGCATGGAGCAGCCGCAGGAAGCAGGTCTGGCATGGGTGCATGCAGGTCGCCGCACCTGATTGCGCGGGTGACAAAGGGTTGGGGTTGTCTAGCAGCTCCTGCAGGCAGGCATGGGAGCAGGGGGTCAGCTCATGGGCTGGCTTCTCTGTTGCCTGCCGCCCTGCCCCAGCTCGCCAACCTTACCCGACCTCCTCATCACCAACTCCACACCACCCTCGCTGCCTGTGCATCCCACAATGAATCCGCACCTGGATGCCCAGCAGGATCTGCTTCACTGTGATGGATGGCCGCCAGCCCTCGTCCTCATTAAGGATGGAGAGGCAGACGGTGCCACTAGGGTAGATGTTGGGGTGGAAAAAGCCGGCCGGCAGCTTGCACTGCAGTGGGGAAGGCCATGCGCACAAACCCAAATTGTGAATGCTAGGTGGGTAATGCCAGGGGCAGGCCCAGCCACTGTGTTGCATTTTCGCAGCAGGCACATGCATGGCACCCGCGTCCACAACACACAGCCCCCTGCAGGTCCAGCCACATCCCGCCGTCCCCTTATTGAACAAGACACCCCAGACACCCCAGGAGCAACCTTTGGCGGCTTGGCGGGGTAGTCCTCTGTGAATTCCATGGTCAGCGGGTAGAAGCCGCCCTGCCAGATGGTGTCCTCCTTGCCGGGGATGTAGCACTTCCACCGCATCATGTTGGTCTCCCTGCAGCAGCAGGTAGTTCAGCGCAGATAGGCCGCGGCTCAGGCCGCTGCTGCAATGCGCATGCCAGACAGCGGCTTGATAGCGAGTTGGAAACGGAGCCGGCAGCGGCGGCAGGGCGGCAGTGGCAGGCGGCGGCGGCACCCACCCCGTCTCTTCATTCAGCTCCGGTCGCGCGTGAAATCCAAACGGCTTGTCCTGCAGGCAGCAAGGGCACGCCCAGCCTTCCGATTCCAAGCTCCTGGTTCCAAGTGAATGCTCAAACGCAGGACGGGCGGCTCCTCACCTTTCTCCACGCCTTGCGCTCCTCCGCCAGCCTGCTGCGAGCCACTCCAGCCATTGCCAACGCCTCTCCCAGGTGATGGCTTCCCAAGAGCTGTTCGCTCGGCGGATGCAAGTCAGTTGCCAAAACGTAGAAGCAGCCACCTGGATCACTGAAAAAAACTGTCGGCACTGCTTCGGATGGGTTGCCTCCCCCGCCTCCGTCCCCGCCACCGCAGCGGCCCCAGCAGGCGGGGGGACAACTTCAGATCATCAGAGCGAGATTGGCGTGCTCGTGATGGATCGCAAAATAAATGCAATGGTAACAAGGTTGCAAAGAATGGGGCCGAGAGGAAGAATTTGACAATCGGTAGGAGAACAGAACAAATGGGAGAAATATGCACAGCAAAGCGCTACGCTGCCCGTTCAGCTGGCAGCGGTTGCAGCGGCACGCCGCCAGTTGGGGGCCCACTCCCGCCGCTGCGCATTACGCCGCGGCTGCCGACCTGTGCTGCAACATGTAGCGGCAGCTCCATCTTGAAACTTGTCTTTGCTTTGAGCATGCCTCGGTGGTCTGCCACTGGCTTGCCGCCCGCCTGCTCCCTCCCCTGCCACCACTGCTGCCACCACCAGCCCCTGCTCTGCTCCTGCTGCTGGCTTGTGTCCTTGTCCGCGCCGCCTGCTGCGTCCGAGGTGGTTCCCAACTGATGCTTCTGTCCCATCTTGTCCAGATTCACCACAATCACTCCCGTCGCAATCAGGCATGTGCCTACAACTGACAACACCGTCAAGGGGTCGTCGAAGAAAACTGTGCCTATCGTCCAGGCAAAGATGACCTGCAGGCAGCGGTGGGGAGCATCCCCGTGAGAGTCTGCCTTGCTTGCAAGTAATGCAGCAACGAATCCGCAGCACCAGTGCCTTTGTGTTTCTTCCCCACCTGACTGAAGTTCACCGCGCTCGCCTTGGCCGCCAGCTCAATCTGGAAAGCTCGGTTGACGAGCAGGTTGGCTGTGAAGGAGCAGGCCGCCAGCAGCAGCAGCAGCACTGCCTGGACCGGAGAGGGCAGCACCGCGGGCTGCGGGTAGCCCAGGCAGAGCGGCACCACGCTGCCCAGGAACGAAAAGGTGTGGAAGTACATTGCGATAGTGAGAGGGTGCTCCCGCCTGCATCGTTATGCAAAGAGGGGAAATGTGAGAGAAATTTGTTGCAGAGATCTTCACACACGACAAAACCAGGCCCACGCGCCCACCGCGTCCAAACACAGCGGCAGCTCTTACGGATCACAGCAAACACCCTGACGAGGCCACTCACTTGCCGATCTGGCGGATGCAGATGTAGGCACCGGCAGCCAGCACCGCGCCGGCAAAACCAAACACCATGCCAAGCAAGCGCTGGCGACTCCAGTCCACAGCCGCGGACCCCGGCTGCGCCACCATCACCACGCCTCCTAGGCTAGCGCTGCACCCCGCCGCCGTCAGCCAGCCAAACTTCTCGCCCAGGAGCAGGTAGCCCAAAATGGCCGTGAAGGCTGGACTGAGGAAGAAAATCACGGTCTGCGACGATTGGGAGGGATGGGAGTTGAGGCAGGACTGGCTGCGCAGGGCTGGTTGGGGCCAGCCAATGCACCAGCGCCCCCTCACCGAGTCGCTCAGGGGCAGCCTGACAATGCTCTCGTAACAGCAGATCATAGCAGTAGCGCCCACAATGCCGCGGGCCAGCTTGATGGGCAGGGGCGCGGTGCTGCCGAATATGGGAAGGCCCTTGGCCCGGCAGCTCAGCACAGTGGTCACCCCCGCAAAGAGTGCTCGGCACAATATGATTTCAAACACCGGAATTGCATGCTGCAAAAACACAAAACAAATCATCCCACGCTACGATCATAGTGGGGTGGCGATGCGCCGCTGGAGGACACCCAACTGAATCGCATGCTGCAATAACAGATATCATCACACGCTGCCGCAAAGCAGGGTGGCACGTGCATCCTAATTTCCCAATTTCCCAACACACCTGCACCAATTTCACCAGGGTTGAAGCCAGGGTGAATGAGAGCGAGGATACCACCCCGCAGGCCACCCCGTTGTCCCACAATGCTGCCAGCGGGCGGCGCCAGACTGGCGGGCCGCTGGGTGCGGTAATACTGGCTGAACCTCCTTCCCTGGCGGCGGCGCCGCATGCCTCGCCCTGCTGCTGCGGTCCATCTGATATCAACGGCGCGTTCTCCTCATCGTCGCTGGCACGCCCCTCGCTGGCGGCGCGCCTTTCGCTCTCGTTGGAGACCATGGCATTGTATGCAGCTTCAATAACGTGCGTTAGGCGGCTTGAAGTGGGCAAGAGATGTGGGTGTGGAGCTCAGAAGACGCAGTGGCTGTCCTTACAGGCATTTATAGAGCGGCGGGACTTGGGCGGGACTTGGCCAGCTGGCGGTATGCGGCACTAGGCGATCACCGCCATCTACTTTGAGAGGAATTGCATTGCTTGTTCAGTTGCAGCTTGCAGCAGGGTCTTTGATGAGGTTGGGCTGCTCACTTTTCTCACACTGCCGCCGCAGCGGTCTGTAACAATTACTGCAGACACCGCGGTGCAGCCAGGGCGGCCAGTACGCCACACTGCACAGTCCAGCGCACCAATAGCTATGTTTGCGCATACCATGGGCAGCAACCAGCACAACTGTGAGGTTGGGGAACGGATCGGTCATCAGGGCATGACGTCCCGCTCCCGCCAATGTGGACGCTGTGTGGGCGGGTCTCTTTGGCATGCCGCAACTCAACGATTGCATCGTTTCATCCAGCATCGTACCACTCTATAGCGCCAAGGTAGCCTCTGGTTTGCTCCTCTTTCCCCTTGTTTGCTCTAATCATCAACTTGATTGGAGGGAGCGTGTCTGGCCCACCATCGTAAGCAGGCAGCCTGCCATCGAAACTGAAGAACACAATAGGGCTGGCTGCGTGCCGTGGGGGCCGCATGCAACTTTGCAGCCTCACCTTGCTCGTCTTGCGTGCAGAGGCGGGGTTGCACAGCCGCGTGGAGCTGTGCAGCGAAATTGTTCGATCTGGTGAGCGGCCGCCTGATGCAGCACCGCCGCTCCTGCCGCCGCCTCTGCCGCTCGCGTGCTGCATGGTGCCGCGACAGCTGAAGCGTTGGGCCTGTTCATTGCAGGCAAGCGGCAAGCTTTGTGAACAGCGGAGCCTCCCCAGTCCGCAGCCCCAGAACTCGTGACGTGAGCTCCCGCTCGGCTCGCAATGGCGGCGGCAGTCTCGTCCGCTGAGCTGCAAGCCGACAGCTTCAAGCGCCTGTATCCCGATCAATACCTGGCAAAGTTCATCGAGCAGGGCGTGCGCCCCGACGGCCGTCCTCTGGCACTGCCCAGGCAAGCCGGCGGCCGTGCCTAGCCCGCTCCATCCGTAGCAGGGTCAGGGTTTGCTTCTGTGCTTCTGCCTGCGTGGTGGCTCATCCTCAGCCTCAGCTCCATCACATGCCCCGCTTCGCTCTCTGCAGGCCCACCTCGATCGGGCTCGGTGTGGTGTCCACCGCCGATGCCTCGGCGCTGGTCAAGGTTGGCAGCACCGCAGCGCTGGCTGGCATCAAGTGCGAAGTGATGCCAGCGTCAGCAGACACACCCGAGGAGGGGCGCCTGGCGCTGCAGGTGCGGTGCGGGGTGGAGGCTGGGGGCCTTGGGCCTGCCTGATGCGCAGCAGGTGGGGCCGTGGCCGGCGCCTCCGTCACGCCGAATGCGTCGTCCAATGCTGGCTGCCATACGCATGCACACAGGTAGAGCTGGCGCCGCTGTGTTCAGCAGACACGAGGCCGGGGCGGCCATCCGAAGCGGCGGCGGTGCTGACCGAGCAGCTGAGCAGCTTGCTGGAGGGAGCGGGTGTGGTGGACCGCCGCCAGCTGTGCATCGACCCCGGCAAGGCGGCCTGGGCGGTGTATGTGGATGTGTATGTGCTTGATGCAGGTGGGTGCGGGCATGGAGCATGAGGCTGCTGCTGCTGGGATGCGAGCTGGCTGCTGCCTGGATGCGAGCAGCAATGTGGCGTCAAAGAGCGGGTGCCTGATTGGCCGGTTTGCCAGCAGTGTTTCATGCCGTGCTGCCCAGCCCTGCGTGCGCACCGGCGGTCTACTAGAGTCGTTCGCCTGCCCTCACCCATGGCACGGCGCAACACTGAACGCCGCCCAGAGTGGATTGGGTAGCGCGCCTGCTGTGCCCGGATGCCGCGGTCTGCGGTCGGGGCCGGCGCGGATTCCCAGATACACCCCACGCTTCATTGCTCCCCACCTTTGGTGCTCATTCTGTGAAACCCTGCGCATGCTGCTGCTTCCTGCTGCTCCCTCTCTCCACCCACTGCCGCTGCCCTGCTCTGCCCGTGCCCTGTTCCGTGCTTCATGGCTGCAGACGGTTCACTGCACGATGCCTGCCTGCTGGCTGTGCTGGCCGCGCTGTCCAGCCTGCGTCTGCACGCCGTTGCGGTAGACGACACTGGGCGTATCCAGAAAGCGCCGGCAGATGCAGCAGCGGCAGGAGCAGCAGGCGCGCAGCGGCAGCAGGGCGCTGCGGATGGTGCGGCGACGGCGCTGCAGCAGCAGCCGCAAGGGCATCAGCGGCGGCCGCTGCTGCTGGCGTGCCATCCAGTCAGCCTGACCTGCGGCCTGTACCGCGATCGGTTGCTGGTTGACCCTACAGCAGAGGAAGAGCCGCTCTTGGAGGCGGCGATGACGACTACAGTGGATGAGAGCGGCGACATCCTGGGTGAGGGTGGCTGCTTCTGGCAGGCTGTGGGGGTTGTGGGGGTTCCGCTTGCTTGCGTCTGACGCATTGCTCTGCCGCTGCTCACTCTCGCGCTGCTGCTGTTGCTGCCGCTGCTGCCGCAGGGTTTTACAAGGCGGGGGGATCCGCCACACTCAGCCGGGAGCGGATGCTGGAGTGCATAGAGGCGGCTAAACAGCGCAGCAGGGAGGTGCGGGGGCTGTTGCAGCAGGCGCTGGAGGCGGCGGCGGCAGCGCCCAGCTAGCAGCAGGCCGCGAGCCGCCCTCCTGTTGCATGCCGTTAATCCTTCTTCAAACTGATTCTGGTTGTAAGCGTACATTATAGTTGTGTCTCGCATTGAGGGCAGCCCAGATGCGTGCCAGCACCCCCTCAATTGGGCCGGCATGATGCTGAGCTGTATCCTGGGTTCAAACAACAGCGGCGGCGGCGCTTTGTTGATGAATACAAAACTTACACCATAAAAGTGCTGCGGCAATAACAGTGGACAGTAAAGGAATGCTGCTGCGCGCCTCGATGCGGTCCCCAATGATCAAGCAGCCAGGGCCGCCGGCCACGGTACGCTGGGCTGCCGGCGCCGCCGTCACGCGGAGGGGAAGAGCTCCTGCAGCTGGCGGATGGTGTCATCGGGCCCCGTCACGGTGTGCCCCACTGTGTCCTCCGACACAAAAATCTCGTAATCGTTGCCGCCCTGCAGGGATGGGCAGAGACCAGCGGGAGAAACGGCTGGTTGCGGGGGCAGGGGCAGTGGGCAGGGGCTGGCGGCACGTGCATGAAGCGCCTTGGGCCGGCCCAGCGGCAGGGCCAATGCGAACGGGCAAGGTGGGACACGGCATCACGATGGCTGTGCGCCAGCCACCTACCACTCTGAGTGCTCTGGAATCCCAGACTAGAGGCTCAAACCAGGTCAAACCAGCGGCCACCCACCTGGAAGGTCTTGTCCCCAAAGAAGTGGATCTCATCAAAGTCCTCCTTCACAAACCGCAGGCAGTAGGTCTTGTCCCAGCCCTGCGGCGGGGGGTGATGTGAAACACTGGGCCAAAGAAGCTGGGCCAACCAACCGGCCAGGCCAGTGCCCTGCTGCTACAACGAGGCTGCCGCCGGCATCGCCCATGGGTGCCTTGCTGCAGCCGGCCTGCACCCGAGCAGGCACCCAACTGCCGGGGCTGCAACCACACGATCACAGCGTGGCAGGTGCCCACAGCATGCAGCATTTCCTTGCTCCTTATGGTTGCAACAGACAAACAGACAGCACGCACCCGCGGGAAGACGTCAAAGGAGATCTGGCCGCCAATGGAGAAGGTGAGGTCGAGGTGGGCAAAGCGCTCGCGCAGCGCGTCCACAAACTTGGCCCTGTCGGAGGAAGGAGGCAGGGAGGCAGGCAGCGAGGATGCATGAGAACGGAAGTGGGCAGGGCGCGAGGGGGAGACCAGCGCAGGGGTGGCGCCCTGCCCTTGAACTCGGCCAGGCTCGCTTGCACACGGCCCAGGAGCGCCCCATCCTAACATTCCTTTCACGCCACACCGCATCTGGATCGACCCCCAGGCCCCCCTCCCCCGCACCTGATGCCGTTGGCCAGGTCGAACTTCTCAAAGGCATCCCGCTCCTCCTGGCTGCAGTTGCGCCCGATGGGCGACACGTTGAGCATGCCGTTGCGGAACTCGATGAAGGTACCACGCTTGAGGGGGATGTCGATGTCTGCATGCATGGTTGTGATGTTGGGTCCGGGCAGGCGAGCAGACGAAGGGAATGCCAGCACTCTTGGTACTGCCGGCCTCTTGGTACTGCCAATTCTGCCGTTATTACCCCGCACCTGCCAGGTACTTGAGGCAAAAGTTGATGAACTCCTTCAGGTTGTCCTCTCCTAGGTGCTTGCTGATGCTCTGCACCACGGCAGGCAAGCAGCGAGTGCGTTCAGGCGGGCACGAGCGACACACGGTCGTGAAGACACACGACGTCGAGCACAAGACTGCAGCAGCCCAGCACTGCCCTGCCTCCTCATGCCACCCACCACCGACCTGCACCGCCAGCAGCTCGCCCTTTTTGTAGGCCACCAGACCATTCTCCGAGAACACGTAGTCGTACTGCTGCAGCACTGCGGACAGGAAGGATGCGATGCGGCGTACTGTGGGGCTGGGGCACGGAGGGGCGGGCAGGCGAGAGCGCGCAGGCCCGTGCACGGCGGCAGGGCGCACCATTCTTGCCCAGCTGCTCCATCTGCTTCACCAGGTCGGAGCCGCCCACCGTGCCGATTGTGACCAGCTGCGGGGGTGAGCGGCAGGGAAAGTGGCAAGATGAGCAGCAGAAGGCAGCCAGGAGGGCTAAGCCGCACTAGCCGGCGCCTCAATGTGCCAGGTCAAACATGCGCCAGCAGCCCACCTGCCGCAGCCGCTGCATCTCGTCCAGCATTTTCTGCTCCACCTCCTGCAGGCGGCCGGCGAGGCATCAATGGAAACACGACACGTGAGGCATGTTTAGGCCATTGCAACATCGACAGGACGGTAGGTTGCTGCCAGTCTCGGCCCACATGTGACTGGCACGATCAGCTGCACAAACCTTGCGGGCCACGGTAAGTGTGCCATCCACATCAAACAGGCACAGCACCCGCTTCGTCATGGTGGGCTAGGCTACCTGCAGCACGGCCGGCTTCGATGAGTCGGCCTGGCGGCGGGGCAGCTGGTGCCGCCGCATGCTGCTGCCACCGGTGCGCACGGGAGCAGCCCTGTTCGCGTGCGCATTCACTCCCACGGCACCCGCTGCACCTGACGAGCAAGCCAGGCCGCACCTGAGGGCCTCTCGAACAGGGCGAGACTCTTGTGCCCACGGGGTAGGGGTGCGCGATCAACGGAGCAGACTAGAGAGAGACACGGGCAGAGCAGCTTGCGATGGAGCAAAGTTTGCCAGCAATGCCAGGTGAGTTTCTTGGAGAGCCCGCCCCTTTTCCACTCTCGGACTTTCTCTCTGCCTCCCTAATGAGTGGAACCACATCATTCAGGCGATCATTGATTGGCACAGGCCGGGAGCGCCCTGTCGGAGTGCGTTCAAGCCCGAGTGCATGTCCAGCATGTTCAATCATGATTCAACACAGGAACTATGGCCAACAAGCTCATACAGGAAACAGTATTACCGCAACAGTGCAGCGGGAACTCCAACACAAGCTCCTGTGGTTGTGCACCCAGGCGGCGTCGCGAACGGCGCGTCCTGCCGGGCGGCAGGCCACTGGCAGCCGCTCCTCCCGTCAATTCGCTCAGCGTTACCGGCTGTGGCTGCCGAGGTAGGACCATGACCATCGTGGCAGGCCAGAACAAGTGGCAAGTGAAAGGGGTGTCCAGCGCACGACGCGGAAGGCCCCCACCCGCACGCCGCCTGTACAATGCAGTACGCATGACAGCTCACTTCGGCGAAAAGCAGAGCAGGAAGAAGAAACGATCCAACAATCGTCAGCTGGCATCGCGGCCTTCATCCCTTGGTGCCTCTCAGGCCTGCTGCGCACCCCCGATAGGCGGGCCGCCTCCCGCGTCCCACCCCCTCTTGCGGCTCGCTTTCTGCCGTTAGTCGGCTGATCCTGACAAATGGGGCGCTCCTGCTTGGGCCGGCGGCTGGGCAGCAGCCTGCTGCTGCTGGCGGCGGCGGCGGCAGTGGCCGCCGTGCGCGACACAAAGTATTACGACCACCTGGGTGTTTCTCCCGATGCCGACGAGCGGACCATCCAGAAGGCGTACCGACGAGCGGCGCTGTGAGCCCCGCTGCCGCTCGCAATCGTAGCGCAGCAGGCACCAGGGCCGCCGTCTGGTCCTGTGCCAGCCGTAGCGTTTCTGGAATGGCTGCTGCTGCCTGGCCAGTCGCCGCACACACACACCCGTGGTGGCCCTGCCTGCAGGCGGTACCATCCTGACCGGAACCCTGATAAACCGGATGCGGAGGAGCGGTTCCGCGAGGTGGCGGCAGCATACGAGGTCCTGTCGGGTGCGTGTAGGCGAAGGCTTGACCGCCAGCCCGCCTGGCTTCCTCAGCTGCTGGCATTGGGAATGCATGGGGATTGCACTGCTAGTGTGCAGGCATGCGCTACTACCTGCTTGCCTGCTGCTGCCTCAACGCTGCTGCCCCGCTGCTGCTGCCACCGCTGCAGACTCTGAGAAGCGGCAGATTTACGACCGGTACGGCGAGCAGGGCCTGAACCAGCAGCAGCAGGGCGGCGGCGGCCCTGGCGGAAACTTCCACTTCCAGCACGGCGACGCTTTCAACATCTTCGAAACCGTGTTTGGCGGCATGGGCGGCGGCGGCGGCCAGCGCATGCACTTCCAGTTTGGAGGAGGCGGCGGCGGCATGGGCGGAGGTGCGGCGGCAGCCTGGAGCGCTGCCTGGCTGCTCTCCTGCTGCTGCGTGGCAGTTAATTACGCAGTGGCGCTGTCAGGGCTGGAGCCTGCGTGCTTGTATGCTGCCAGCAGCCCTGGTGGCCACACGCCACCTTCCCTGGCGCAGGCTTTGGCGGCATGGGCGGCGGCCACGGCGGGCAGCACGGCGGCGGTGGGCGGCGGCATGAGACCGCAGGACTCTACGACAACGATGCCTTTGTGCAGGTGAGGACGGTCTTGGTTGCCGGTTGGATGCATGTACCCCCTTGCGGCCACTCTCTCCCTGTGTTTTCATTGCATCCCGTATCAAAGATCGCTGCCTGCCAGCCCCCAGAGCCTGTCCTGCTGCTGGTGGCGCTGCCTGCCAGCCCCAGAGCCTGTCCTGCTGCTGATGGTGCTGCCTGCCTGCTCCTGGCAGGACCTGACTGAGGACACGTTCCCAGAGGGCGACGGCGACGGCTGGATCTGGTTGATCGAGTTTTACGCGCCCTGGTGGTGAGCTGGGCCGGAGTCGTGAGCTGATCGTGCTGCGAGCCGCCGCCTTCCTGTGCAAACTGGCATCCCGCTGCGCCTGGGCAGCCCTCGACCGCCCATGCTGCGACCTCTGATGCACCTTGCGCCGCCCTGCCGCCGCCCTGCCGCAGCGGGCACTGCCGCCAGCTGGCGCCCAAGTGGCGCAAGGTGGCCGAGGCGCTGCACGGCGTGGCCAAGGTGGCGGCGGTCAACTGCGAGCAGCAGCAGGCGCTTTGCCAGGAGCAGGGTGTGCGCGGCTACCCAACCATCAAGGCCTTCAGGTGGGCAGCTGCCCTGCTGGAAGGCCGTTTGCTCTTCGCCTTCTGCTACTGATGCTGCTGCCAATGCCCACCGGGGCTCTCGCCCCGCACCGCCCGCTGGGCCATGGTTTCGCGGCTTGTCGCGCGCCTTCCACGTCCCTGTGCTGCTCTGTGCCAAGCTCTCTCCGCTGCCTGTGCGCCTCTGCCCCGTGGCCTCCCCATGCAGCGGCGGCCACTTGCACGAGTACAAGGGCGACCGGTCGGCGCGGCACCTCAAGGACTGGGCGCTGGGCCTGCTGCCCAAGCACATCAAGACCGTGAACAAGCAGCAGCACCTGGCCGACTTCCTGCGGCAGTGTACCAGCGGCACGGGCGGCGGCAGCAGCAAGTGGGGCGTCTGCGCGCTGCTGCTCAGCGACAAGAGCGAGACGAGCGCCCTGTACAAGAGCCTGGCGCTTCGGTGGGTTGTGGGGCGAGGGCTGGGCTCGTGCTGGGGTTTGGCGTGCTGCCACCAGGCGCTCTTCTGCTGCGCAGATGCCTTGTGCCGCCAGCATTTTGCATTGCCCTCGCTCCTTCCACTGCCGCAGGTACAAGGGCAAGATTGCGTTTGGCGAGGCGCTGCGCTCCAACGCGGAGATCAGCCGGGAGTTTGGGGTCAGCAAGTACCCCACCCTGCTGGTCATCTGCGGCGGCAACAAGGACGTCGTCGTGAAATACGAGGGTGAGCTGGTTGTGGCCGCGTTGTCTCCAGCCTGCCGCCTGCAAGGGCAAGCCGCAGACCACACTGCGTTTCGTTGTTTTGACTGCATCCTGACTTCCATAGGCTGCCTGGTTTGTCCCACCACCCAAACCAGCACACACACACACACATACACGCCCTGCCGGTTTGCAGGCGAGATGAAATCCACCAAGCTCTCCCGCTTCCTCAACCAGTTCTACTCGGGCAAGGCCTGCGCCGCGGCCATCAAGATAGGTGAGCTCACACTGGCTGGGGTGCAGCTGATCAGCGTCGCAGCGGTGGCATCGCGGCTCGAGCCTCAGCTGTTCGTAGTTATCGCCCGCACACGAAACTTTCCACCACCAGGCAACACAGACGCGCGCGCGCACCATTTGCCCACTGCTGGCCCGTGCAGATGCCGCCAACGACCTGTCCAAGATGCGGGTGGGGCAGCTGAAGCAGATTCTGGAGTCACGGGGGGAAAAGTGCAAGGAGTGCGTGGAGAAGGCTGACTATGTGGCCAAGATCCGAGCGGTGTTTGGCATAGGCGACACGGCGCAGCAACCTCCCCACAGCGAGCTCTGACAGCGTCATTGGGCACCCAGCGAACCATTGCAGCTGGAATTTCATGGTCACAGTACCTGGTGCCAAGCCGTTGCTCTACTCGAGCTTTGCGTAATAGGACTATCGGTGGAGCGAGAAGAATGCAGCATGGTTGGCGGCGCCAGCGGGGCGGCTGTGGCGCCTTCGTGTGGGACGAGCCAGCGTCGCGCCTGCATCCAGTCCGCCATTTGAACACCCATCTGCTGCGCCTTAGGCCACTCTTGCCGCTGCCCGTGGGGCGCGGCGCGTGCATACTGTAAACGTCTGCAAACCCGGTGGCTGAATCCTTTGAAGTGCCGCACAAATCCAGTGAAAAGCGCAACATAGGTACTGCACCCAGGGAGCGGCGCCTGCGAGGCGCTTGAAGGCGTGGGACCGTCAGCTGGGAGCCATGCCGGAGCTGCAGCTGTTCAAGCGGCGATGGCACACGGCCACAGGTACGAGCACGCAGGGTGGGCGCTCCGAACCCAGTTCGCCACCCACTACCCACCCTCCACCATGCCGCCTTCTGCCGTCGACCCGTCCTGCTCCGCTTGCAGATGCCCTGCCCCTCATGATGGCGCTCCTATGCATCTTCCACGTCCTGTGGTTTGTGCCATACGCGACAGGTGAGCGCCACTGCATGTTGCCCGCTGATGTGGCACCTCCCCCGATTCGTCTGGCTCATCAGGCACGCTCTCTCCCGCGATCCCTCCCTTTCCTTCGCCTTTCAGAGTCTCTAAGGCTTCTATTTCTCCCCTCCCGCACCCCGCAGCTGCCGCAAATTTAAAATTATGAACCAACCTGTCATCCTTTATGCCTTAGAACGGCGCCAAAACGGCGCCAAGAATGTGTTTCTCACTAAGTCAGATGTAGAGGGCATCATCCGGATCAAGCAGGGCGACCAGCAGGCGCCCTCAGGCCGGCGGCGGCGGGGTGCGGGAGGGGGGGCGGCAGTGCAGGGCGGCGCCAAGAACTACAGCAAGAAGGTGCTGCAGTTCTTCCAGGTGCTGAAGGGCGCTGGCGGTCAGGACATCCTGTGCCGCTGCGTCAAGCGCAGCGGAGAGTGGCGGTGGTGCCCCGTGGTGCCGCTCGAGGAGCTGCCCCGAGTGATCAAGGAGCACCACGAGCGGGCGACTGGCTTCAGCGGTGTGGAGAAGCTGTACACACATGTGAGTGATACAAGGGGTGCAATGCTGCCGCCAGACCAACTGGAGAGTGCTCTGCATCAGGCAGCAACCGGATGCATCGCAGCAAGCACGGGGGGTGCGGCACGGCCAAGGTGGCGCTGCCCTCCTCTCCATCCTATCCTCCTCC